ATTCCAATGGTTCTTTTAATAAAAAAAAGCATTAGTCTTAACTGCTTCTGTCTCTAGTATCTACACCAAAAAAATTGTGAAAAAAAGCTAAAGTTCTCGGGCGACGCCATGTTTATTCAAACAAAAGCACAGGAAGCCCCWAAGGAAACCCAACAATTTCGGATCCCGGCCTAAAAAGGCACATCTCTAATGCCTAAAAAAATCCGAAAAGTTTTGTACATGATCCAACTACCTTTTTAGACAATGAAACTCGGATCTCCGAGCCCAAAATTAGCTAAAATGTGATCCCTGAGCCCCAAAATAACGCCGATCATTGAACCCATATACCTCGTTTTACTTACTAATCTGATACAGTACTACAATAAGCATTTTTTTCTTTACCATTGTACAGAGTCGCTATAGGTAATGGTAACTTGCGAAAACAACCWTAAGCTTTCCATCTTCTTGTCTATCATTATTTAAAACACTAATAATCACCACCTGCAGTTTAGGAAACGATATTTTATGACAGATTCCTTTATTTGGTTTGTCAAGAGCTGGGCTTCCTGTGCTTTTGTTTGAATAAACATGGCGTCGCCCCTCACTTTAGCCTTTTTCACAATTTTTTTGGTGTAGACACTAGAGACAGAAGCAGTTAAGACTAATGCTTGGTTTATTACAAGAACCATTGGAATCCTTCAAATTYGAGAAATAATTGGATTGATAGCCAGCGAAAAGACATGGTTAATAAAAGGCAATAAACGATCGATACGGATCAAAGATCATAAAGCACAGGCATAAAGGTAAGTTTTATTGCTTTTATATCATTGTACTATCGTGTATTTTGATTTTTTTTGATTTTTTATTGCATGATATTTGTAATATCATGAATTTGTCTCTGTTTCGTTCCGGTGTTTCGTTCTGGCGTTTCGTTTCGGTGTTTCACTGTTTAGCAGTGCCCATGAGTAAATATGATAGATGTTTTGCGCCGGCCATCCCATGATAGCAGCCATGACCACTTATTTACATAAGAAAGAATTCATTTTCCCAAGGGAAAAGGGCTCTACACGTATCATTGTACCTCCTGTCATGGCCATAAGGTAATGCTGCAAAAGCCTATATGTTGCCTTATCTCTGATTGTTACAGTAAATATCACTCATAAATAATAATTAATAGAGGATATCGATAGACCTCTTCGGCTTGGAGTTAAGTTTTCCCATTTCAGACCACGTGCCATTCCCTTGAGAATAAGATTCTTTGTTTGAGTTGTATCCATATTCATGTGTCTTCTCATGTGCAATCAAGCGCAAACCTTAAACAAAGAAATGATACTCTATGGGAATGACATGTGGTCTGAAATGGGAAAACATTACGTCAGAGCCGAGGAGGTCTATTTACTGGCTAGGAGGTCCGCATTGGAACAAAAGCTAAAGCTAAGGTCTTAAGTATACGGACTGAGGTCCATTTTCAATGCTGAAGGCAAAAGTTTTCAACTTTAGGATGGACGTAAATAACTCATTTCTTTTTCCCCATTAATTACACTGTACCTGTAATTCTGAGACGATAATCAATACCCCAGCAGGGATTTTGAGGTTTTTATATGTAGGATATTTATTTATTTATTCATTTCAACAATATTTATACAGGGATGTCTCATTTAGCAGAACAAGTTTAAAGTCAAACTACCTCAAGCGTGAACATGTACAGCTCATTAATGGATTCATTATTCAAATATTAATTCGATTCTTTGATTCAAATATTCATTATCCATATGAAGTTTTGAATATTCAAAAGTACAAAAATGAATAGAATAAATAAATAATATGTACAGGTCATGTAGTAAAACTACATTGTCAATATTTTGAAAAGTTAATAACGAATTTAATAATGAATTTTCAAATAGAAGAATCAAATGAGCTCTACTTGTTCATGCTCGAGGTAGTTTGATTGTAAAGAACTAGTTTGAAAATCAGTGAGAGCTTTGCTCTGATATTCAAGTCTAAAATTATGCTAAAACAATCATTCCCCTCAGGCTCAGTGATTATGGTGAATATGTACCTCGCCGCTAGAATACTCACAGCTCAGTAAATATTAACCAATAATCAATACCCCTTCGGCAAATAGTTATTAATTATAAATTATAAATTATTTTATAAAATTATTAATCGTTCATGAGGAAAACACAACAGAAATCACGAMCGTGAAGAGTTTTGTAAATCAGATACAGAATCCTGCATAAACTTTAAGATGGATTTTCTTGGGCAGATTCACTTTTATCTTGAAAATTTTAGCGAAACACAAAGGAGCTAACCTAGACGTTTGATAAGTAATCTACAGTATTCGTGTCTGTGTTGTATCCGATATACAAACTCTCGGCTACATATGGAACATATATATTACATACAGTAATATGAATGCAAATCTTTGGTGCAGTATTATATCTGCAGACGCAACTATAAAAGTATTTGGGTTTCGTTTTCCAGGAAGGAGGTTCTGAAGGACTTTGATGCCTTTACAGATGGATGCAGAGAAGAATATTTAACATCCAGTAAAAATATCCATGATGCAATAGACCAGGTGGATCAGAGTACAGAATACACGAGCTTTGTCTTAGAAAATAAGTAAGTGATATTGACTGATTAGAGTGAAATCATTAAACCCGTGCAATAGATGTTAGACCAATACACTTTAGTAGACCCTAATTCCATTGTTTTCTTTTGTGTCTATTTGACTATTTCATGTTGACTAGTTTAGTTTTTTTTTTTTTTTTTACAGGTTAAATGCCTTCCCTCTAAACTCTCGAAATAGATATTAGACTAATACACTTTAGTAAACCCTAATTCCATTGTTTTCTTTTGTGTCTATTTAACTATGATTACACATTGACTAGTATTTTTTATTCCACAAGTTAAATGCCTTAGATCTATTACTACCATTATCTTTGAAGTGTGAACTGCAAATTTGGCTGTTTCATTCGCAGACTACCATTTCAACGACCTGTCAATCAAAGAACTGCAATGAAGGAAAACAACATAGCTTGAGGAAGTTTTTGGACTGAATTAAAATTTTCAGAGGAATAAAGGATTTAAATATTTACTTCAGTCTGAATTAAAACTTCCTCAAGATATAGAGTGTGTGCAACCTTTTGACTCAAAATCCTTTCAGATATGAATAACAATGAAACAGCCACCATCTTGGTCGATCTAACAAGAGAAGCTGATGAGGAATGCTTTGTTATCGTCAACCAACATGGTGGCTATGACGTAACATGCACCCAAAGAATAGGAGGATACCTATCAAACAACTGCCGTGTTGGTTGATCTAACAAGAGAAGCTGATGAGGAATGCTTTGTTATCRTCAACCAACATGGTGGCTATGACGTCACATGTACCTGCCTTGTTGTCTTTTTTTAAATTGCAGTTCTTAGATTGTCAGTCATTAAAATGCTTGTAGGCGAATGAGATACTGAACTTTCCTGGTTATACTTAGATATAGCAGAAAATAATGAAAAATACAGCAGCTGATTATTTTATCAGGTTTTTTTTTCTTCAGAAAAAGTTGCCCAATGTGCCCTTTCATCTTTGAACCAACACTAATTGAACAGGTTTCTACACAACTGGAGCCTGACAAGCTGATTCTCAATGATCTGACGTGTGAAAAACTTATGCACAAGTAAGTTGAAAGGAGCTGTAGCTTTATCCCATTACCATGATCAATGCTTTCATTGCTTTTTGGGAGTATCTTTCAAAGATGGACAGAAATTCAGGGTTCGTGCTACTCCTTAAACTCCTTGAAAACTCCTTGAATTTAACTCACGTTTTCAAGAGCACTTGAAAAGCGCTTAAAATTTACAATTTTAGCGAAGCTCCTTGAAAACTCCTAGAATTTTTGCTTTGATCATTACTTGCATTGTTCTGAAATAGATCTAGTCAGAGGGTTTCAGTCAGAGAGGTTGGAAAATCTGAAAGTCGGACATGTGCAACCACCATGTAAAACCTTGGCATAGTTAGCTGAACATACTCCTTGAAAATTCATTTTTGGGTCCTTGTATACTCCTTGAATAGTCCATAAACTTTAAGTGGTTACCTCAGCACGAACCCTGGAAATTAAGCAGCTCTGGACAATCCTCAATTACCCTCATGATGACCATATCAGCTCCGCTGTAATATTATCAAATTATTATTATCACTTTATTATCAAGCTAGTATTATCATCATCATCATCATTGTCGTCGCCATCATCAACCTTATCAATGCATCATAGAAATCAGTGTTACAGAAAATGTATTTACTATTATTATATAGATATCGATGGAATACCAGGTTTTCTCTAGTGTCGAAAACTTGATATCTTTCACCAGTGGAAGATACCATATCTTTCACACATGAAGATATCGCTGTTGAATCGGCTTGCTATTTTAATAAAGAATTTTTGAGCTTTTGTTTGATTTAAGTGTCATCGATATCTATATAATAAACAGAACATTAAATGGCCTCTTGGAGATACGAATTTTATCTTCTC